TGTCCATGGTGGTGGGAACTGCCTATTTGGGAATTGCTTTTGTGTAGTGGCACTTGTGTGCAGGGATTGGCAAACCCCAACGTCACACCCCAGTGGGAAAGATAAATGTGGCGTTAAAAGCCAGCAGGAGGGGAGGGCTGGTTGAGCATGAGAAATGTCAGAACACTGTGCAAGTTCCTGGTGATTCCCATCTGATCTGCTCCTCACAGTCCTTGTCAGCACCCGGAGAGATGGACTGAGCCTTGCTGGGATGAGGGCATGGCTGCTGGGGAAGCAGCAGGGAGGTTCTCTGGGAGAGGTGAGCAGAGTGGTTCAGTGTGCTTTGAAGGGTGAAAGTGGAGAAGGGATGGAACTGTACAAATCAAACAAGGGAGTCTGTGAACAGGTAAAATACTGGCTTGGAAATTCATAAGTATAGACTGGGCTTGGCTAAATAGAAAAATAGAAATTAAACACTTATGAAGAGGAGAAACTGCTCTAAGCACTCATAATGCTCTGACAAAAGGCTCTGGTGGGGGGTGACATACCTTGAGCAGGTGTTTACCTGCACCTTTCCCATGGCTAATGTGTGAACGTGGTGAGGAAGTGACATTTTACAGCTGCAAAACAAAACCTGTGCTGTCACAATATGATTCATGACCAAAACTAAACAGGCAGTGTGCAAAGTCAAGCACCTGATACTCATTGAGACTTGCTGGAGAATGGCAAGAAGGTTCTACATATTTTTAAAGTCATTGTAAGACAAAAAATAATATGTGCCTACTAAACAACATGTGCCTCCAAAAAGCCTTTCCCAATGTGTACAGATATTTATGGAGACTCCTCCAAAGGCTCACAGATTTTTCCACTTTCTCTGCCTTACCCATGCAGACATTCTCCTAAATGGCCAATAAAAGCTAAAATTAAAAAGCCTCTTAAAATGCACACTTCTATATTTAATGCTGCTCTTTAATTAGAATTTCCAAGATTTCCTCCTGAAGGGTTTAAGGAACGTTGCTGTCACAGATACTGCGGCATAAGCAGGAAGCAGAGGATTCCCCTGGGGCTGGGGCGCTGC